GAGGAAATGTCCAAACTAGCCGAAATATGCCGATTTCTTTGATTTCATAATCATTACTTTGATGATGACCTGGTTTCACCACGATGCCTCACATTCAGTTATTATTAAATGTAGGTGTTTTACGCCTTTATCAACGCAGTTTAGATCATCTAATAGACGGGCTTTCAACCATGACTGTCAGGGGCAACCAAGGCTGAGAGGGATACAACATCCCATCTGTCAGAAAGGCCTAGACACTTGATAAAAATTCTCCCCACTCGGGATTCAAACTTGGGTCTCTTGCGTGAGACAGCGAAGAGCCCAATCATTACATGTACACAACAGACGTCGGTTCATATTCTCTGCCTAGTATACCAAAATATTCAATGGGGAAGAGGGGAATGGGGGCTTTTGGTCTCGTTACTTTAAGTACCGGATACCGTGTCAGTAAACATCTATTTAAATTATGAATACGTACATGACATGTACTGTGACTGGTGTTTCAACAGTCTGACACGGAATAATACAAAAACCAAAACAATACAAAACACACAAAAATCAAGAATCTGAAAAATATGCGTCCAACAGCATGCCTACTCTTTTAAGCCCAGAAAGAATATTTGAATTCATGTATTGTGCTATTATCTTTTTATCATTATTTTTTTTTCAATTTGTATCATTAATATAATTATTCTCCCAGAAAGAAGCCATGGCCATGATGAAACAAATCGTCCACTGGGTGAGAGTGGACAACTCTGGCCTCGGCATACCACTGGTCCCTCCAAAAGCCACGTCATCACTGGGCGTTCCCATGATGCTCCTCTGCCTGATCGACCAGATGGAGACGATGGACCCCGCCCATGGCGCCAACTTCAACGACCTGGCAGACTGGTGCATCGCGCGTGTGCTCAAGCACGTGCAGAGAAACGGGACTGTGGTGTTAGAAACTGTGAGCGAGGACGGGGAGGAGGTTGGTGGGAGCGCTGGACGACTCATGAACCCAGGTATTCTTGAATTAAACATGGTCAGAGTTATTACAAAAGCATTTTATATTATTGATTAATATGTTAACAGATTAATGGTTGGTTGTCAAATTAATGAATCAACTGATCCATTAATTGGTTAATTATACACAAAAAAAGACAAACAAACAAACAAACGAAGCAGTTAAAAAAAATATTTTCATACAACAATTTCCAGACACGCGATAGGCTATGACCAATACATTACTATAATATCTCCAGGCCACGTCATAGAGGCTGGCTGGTTCTTGCTGGAAAGAGCTGGAAAGAGCGGGAATGAGGAGCTGCAGAAGACGGCATTGGAGACTTTTATGCTGGAGGCCTTCCATAGAGGCTGGGACACTGAGCATGGGGGTATCTTGTACTTTGTCGATGTCGATGGAAGACCGCCGGCACAGCTGGAGTGGGATATGAAGGTTTGTTAATATGTTTGTTTGTTTGTTTGTTTGTTTGTTGTTTTTGGTCTTTTTGACTGTTTTTGTTGTTGTTGTGGGGGTTTTTTGGTTGTTTTTTTTAGGGGAGGGAGGTGTTTGAGTGTGCTTAAATTTAAAGGGAGGAGGGTATTCCGTCTTTGAGTATATATTGGGGTGGTGGGTGGATGGATTCGCGAGGGTGTCTATATATATATCTATCT